CCCCAAAACCCCAAAACCCCAAAACCCCAAAACCCCAAAACCCCTCTCATTTATGAATTTATTGAAATCTCTATCTAATTACCGACAAAACCTTCATTAATCATCTGCAGGGGAGTCAGCAGACTCACGGTCACACTTTGATCGAGATGTGAATCCGTTGTTGTGAAGGAACAAGTCAAATGCCTTGATTCGCTTCTTCTTTGGATACCCTCTATGTCCACAGCTTACAGGAAGGACAAACCCAAGATGAGCCTCTGGTGGTGAGTTAATGAATCTATCCTGATCGTTTGAATCCATTTCAACTGAGTTGATCCGCAACCTGTGGTTTTCGAGCTCGTGGATTAAGCTATCATCTTCAGAAATATTCCCCCATTTGGTAATGAAGTAATCAAGCATCTTCTTGAGACCTGCCTTTATGGTTTGGCCATGCTCTTCTATCTCCTTTTGGAGTTCAACCAAGGCAGGAGGAGATGGCATTGAGCTATCTATTTCTCCAATGGTTTCAAGGATCATTTCCAACTTCTTTATTCAATGTTTTCTCCTTATAACTATTGGGATGTACTCACCACTTGGTCTAATAGCTCTTCCGCTGCCGTATATTTCGAGGAAAAGAATGAAGAGTTTCAGGTCATCAATATGACTCATGTGGTCAGAATGAAAAATCTCATAGAGTGTGAGAACGCCTGCATTAAGAGAGGAGAATCAATCTCTGAAAGCCTTATAGTGATGAAAGTTTTCAGCTAGGATGGAGTCTATCTCATCTTCCTTGATTCCATACTTCTGGGTTAGCTTATCTCGAGCTCTTGAACATTTGAGGTTGATTCTGGTTTGGGTATAATTCTTAGCCTCCTCAGAATTTTGGACTAATCTCTTTGTTAGTAGCGGAAGCTCGGCTTTTATTTCTTCGAGGGCTTCTAGGTCTGCTCCTTCAATAGTTCGAGGATCAATGGATAGCTTATCATCCTGCTTCAGAGCTTGGAATATAAGTTGGCAGATATTAAAATAGCCTTTCATAGCGTTGAACAACTCTTGTTCATTAGCATAGAATAATTTGTGCTTGATTACTTCTTGGTCTGGAGCTAATTTCTTTTCTCTTTCGTAATATCTGAGAGCAACACCAGTGCTTAGAGTGACGAAAATACATCTATGACATCGTCAGAGGGATCACATGTTACGATTTTTCAATGAACTTTGGATTCAAGGAAATTATGATCATTATAAACCTCCCATCCTCAAGTGAAGATATTGAATGCATAGTGAATGGCTTTTCCAAACATTTTCCTTTTGGTGACCGTTTCGAGATTTGCAAATGTCCTATCTGCTATAAGAAGATCTATTCCTTTTGCATATCTGCCTAAATGACAGGCGACAATGCCTCCAAGAGATCTTCCATAGACACCAACCTTGCCTTTAACTTTGAGAGTTTTGGTGATGAAGTTCAAAACAGCTTCACCATCCCTTTTAATATTGTAAGGATTTGGAGTTCCTTTGTTTGCACCATACCCTCTGTAATTCCAGACTACAACATTGCTCCCCTTATTCATAAAGTACTTCAGCCAAAAGTTGTGTGGATAGTTCACCATCTGCTCGTAACACAGAGCGTTCGGGTTGCACAAAATCACCGTCGGCCTGTTGTTGTCCTCACAGCTGCACTTTATCGAGTCTGCCTCTTCAGGGTCGAAGCTGATGGTCACGTTGATTCCGTGCTTCGATATGACTTCTCTGTCAACTACCATGTGCTTGGCCTGTGCTGGAAAGAACATCAGAGGCACTTTGTGGCCGTCATACGATGGAGCTTCGAACTTGACTGCGTTGTAGTTGTAAGCCAGAATGTACTCAAGCTGTTCAAAGTAACAGAACACTGCTTTGCCAAGTCAACAGTTCTTTTTCAGAATCTTTGTTGTGCACAGCGATATGAACGTATCGATTTCATCACTGGCCTGCTGGACTGTGGCCATGTTGTCGTCACCAGCAACATACTTTGGAAGGATGGGCGCAAAGCTTGAGTTGTAAGTTGGAAAGGCAAAGTCGAACTTGAAGAATGTGGTGACTCGGGTCTGGTTTTTATCGTTTGTAGTGCTCACTTTGATGGAGTCGAGCAAGTCTCTGATCTTTGCCATCGACCCCGTTATGGCTCCAAACAGCTGACTGACATTGCCTTGTTTGAGATTTGTGTAGTAATTGTTTGCTTCGAGCAACAAGTTAAGCATCTCAAGGCCTTTGATCAGATCTTGCACATACTTGTCGTACTCAGCGTCACTCTCAAAGTCTCGACCTTCTTCGAGTTCGTGTAGAGCACTCTGGACATACCGGAGCAGCTTTCACATTTCCTGGGTAACTTTCTTGTACAGCGACAAGTTCATGAAATAGGATACCAGAGGGTTCGAGTTTGGAAACAACATCAGGTTCGTGAACATTCTCCCGATGAACCAGACAACGATGGCGTTGACCCAGAAGAGAAGGAACACGAAGATCCAGTACTGCTTAAGAGCAACAGCAAGGGCAGTGATTAAGACTACATAGAAAGCAAGGAGGCTTCATGTAATAATTTTGATTGCCAGTGAGTTCTTACCCTATATTCGCATAAACAAACCTTATCGATAGTTCTAAAATGACCAAATCTCACATAGCCCGTCTTACAGAATTATACCCTGCCTTAGAGACCCATATAACCAAGATCCTTAATGCCCACCTCTAAGGTCCCACAAAGCTTTCAAAATTTTAAACTTTCCGCTCGAGAATGTTTACTCTAAGCCTAGTCCGAGCCTGGTCTTACCTTTCAAGTGTGTATCTTCGATGAACACAGAAGTGGCTTCCCTCTTGTCTTCATTGCTTATCTGCTTATAATTATCAGAACGTCCGTTTGTATTAGATTGGATGTTCATTTCTTCCATTTTATTATTATCTAAAATTTGTCAACCTATTCATCTCACAAAGGGGTTTTGGGGTTTTGGGGTTTTGGGGG